TCTCCACCTATCTTCTCCTTTATCCATCTTCTATCCACCTCCCCTTCCCTATTTATTTCAGAATCCCCTTCCCCTCCCTCATTTCTGAAGAAGGGTCTAGACCCGAAACATCAGCATTCCTGCTCGGCCTGCGGTGTTCATCCAGCTCCACACCTTGTTATCTCAGTTTCAGAGTGAATACTGTTTGTATTACAGCTCAGCCTGATTCCTGTACCTATGCCAGCATCGTGTTTGACAGCAACAGAAAAGGTAACCAGCTACAAACTTTTTTCCACATAGTGATATTTCTACATGTTTAAAATATATTTTCCTCACTAACAGACTATTTTCTTTCAGTTCAAGGTGGCCAGACTTTCTCAGTTGTTGATTCAGGAGAAAGTGAGTCAGTTTTTCCTTTCAAAATACAATCCTAATTTTCTCTCCTTTCCACCTCCATCTGCCCCTGAAGCTCATTCTCTCACGCGTGGGACAGTGCCAATCGAGCCTGAGTAATCCATTTCTTTGTTACTGGGGACCCCAACTCTGGGTGGCTGAATCATGGAGGTTTGATCATATGACCTCCATGCCCCACCCCTCATCACAATGCTGTTACCATTGGTCAATCAGCCTGTCCGTCTTAATTGGGGTGTTGCTTTTCTGCACCAATGAGAAAGCAAACAGATTCTCCACTTTCCCATTGGATGATACTTGACTGTCAGACAAACAACTTGAATCTGCCAATGTGTTTATAATGGTCATAAAGAGGGTGAGGGTAAAAATGTACACATGTTGGAGTAAATATTTCCCTTTCTTGTAATTACCTTCACACTGAAGGGGCTGACATTGGGGTAAATCTTCTCTTTCCTGTAATTACCCTCAAACTGAAATTATAACTATAATCAGCTCTGATTTCTATATCTTTCCAGCTGATGTGACCTATGCAGCCATTGTGAAAACATATTAGGATTGAACGTTTACAGTAAGTACTGAACCTGTGTAACTGAGGCAAAGCTGTTTCCCAGATCAAATTCAAGGAGCATCATGGGATTCACTAGCTCCTAAACTTTACATGTTATTCTAATGTAATATATCATCACACCTATATCTGTATGTTTGTTAAGAAAAGGAAAGACATAGATTTATAACAGCTTTCACAAACTCTGGATGTCTCAAAGCACATTGCAAGCAATGAAGCACTTCTGAGGTACAATCAATGCTGGAATTTAGGAATATGATAGCAAATTGTGCACAGCAACCAAACATCTGTTCTCTTGAGATAGTAGGATCTGCCGATGCTGGAGAATCTGAGATAACAAGGTGTAGAGCTGGATGAACACAGCAGGCCTTCATTTCTGAAGAAGGGTCTAGACCCAAAACGTCAGCTTTCCTGCTCCTCTGATGCTGCTTGGCCTGCTGTGTTCATCCAGCTCTACACCTTGTTATCTGTTCTCTTGATGTAGCTGTAGAGATACATGTTGCCCAGGATGCCAGGCCGTTGCTGTTCTTCTAAATAATGGTCATGAGATCATTCAGAAATACTTTTAAGGGAAGTGGATCCTTGACGTATTACTTAACAGATCCCTCCAAGAGACAGTTCTCCCTCAGTACTGCACTGCAATGCACTGTTCAACCTCCAGTATCTGCTCAAGAGACTGCAGTGGGAGTTACCAGTCTCTTCTGACTCTGACTGGTGAGAGCTACCCCTGAGTCAGGTCTGACACAATGGCAGTTCATCACCAGATTCCAAAGGAATGGATTAAATGCTGCTCTCGACAACAGCACTCACATTCCAAAATCCCATAAGACATAGGACAAGAAGCCATTCCAAGAAGGAATAATACAAAAAGTCATTTGGACTTAACTATGCTGTGTAAAACCAGAGCCCATTACAGGCCAAATCTGGTAAGGAAAGCAAATTGCATCACCTGAAGGACATTTGTAAACCAGTTGCTGTTTTATATAAATCCCACAGTTTTTGATCACCATGCATTCTGGAGGCAGCATAGCAAATTTATTGAATTCAAATATAACTCATACTCTGGTTGGGCGGTTTAGTAACAATAACACTAGACCTTATCACATCTTATGGCAATGAACCCTCCAGCACCTACTGCACGCCCCCGCTCCTCACCACCATTTATTGCCCCTCCCTAGTTGCCCCTTGAGAAGGTGATGGTGAACAGCCTTCTTGAACCGCTGCAGTCCACGTGCTGTAGGTGGAGCCACATGGCTGTAGGCAGGGTTTTGACCCAGCAACACCAAACGAACAGTGATATATTTCCAAGTAAGGGTGGTGAGTGGCTTGGAGGGAATTTGCAGGTGGTGATGTTCCCATGTAACTGCTGCCCTTATCCCTCCAGATGAAAATGGTCATGGCTTTGGAAGGTGCTGTCTGAGAATCTTTGGTGAATTTCTGCAGTGCATCTTGTAGATAGTACACACTGCTGCTACTGATCATCGGTGGTGGAGGGAGTGGATGTTTGTGGATGTAGTGCCAATCAAGCGGGCTGCTTTGTCCTGGATGGTGTCAAGCTTCTTGTTGGGGCTGCATTCATCCAGGCAAGTGGGGAGTATTCCATCACACTCCTGACTTGCGCCTTGTAGATGGTGGACTGGCTTTAGGGAGTCAGGAGGTGAGTTATTTGCTGCAGTATTCCTAGCCTCTGACCTGCTCTTGTAGCCACTGTGTTTATGTGAGGAGTCCATTCAGTTATCGATACTTTATTTGCTTATGAATATCTCTTTGTAAACTGTTTTTATCCCTTTCACAATCTGCAGTTCCACCTATTTTTGTGTCATCTGCAAATTTGGCTAAAGCACATTCACTACCTTCCACCAACTCATTAATATATCTTGTAAACGGTTATGGTCCCAGCAGCGATCCCTGTGGAATCCCACTGGTCAAGGGTTGCCTTCTTGAAAAGGAAACCCTTAACCCCATTTGCTGTTTCCTGTCCATTGGCCAATTCTCTATCTATGCTGATATATTACCTCAAATAGCTTGAGCTCTTATGACTTATCCTTTTGTGAGGTACTTTGTCAAATGCCTTCCGGAAGTCCAAATACAACAAATCTACTGGTTCTCCTATATCCACTCTGTTGAAACATCCTCAAAAACTCTAATAAATGAGTCAGACACAATTTCCCTATCATGAAGCTATGCAGACTCTGCTTGATTAGATTATCATTTCCTTAAAAATTGATTTGAATTTTATTCCAACAATAGCTGTTAGGCAAATCACCCTATAATTACCCACTTTTTTCCGCCCTCCCTGGTCTGGAAGCATCCGTGGAAAGAGAAACAGAGTCAACAGTTTGAGTCCAGTGACCCTTCATCAGAACAAGTTCAGAACAGTTCTGAAACTTTGTTTCTCTCCCCACAGATATTGCCAGACCTGTTGAACTTCTCCAGCAATTTCTGTTCCCATTTAAGCATCCGCAGTTCTTTGTTTTATTTTACTGTCTTTGGGATTGGCGATTTGTGCTCTCCTTTCAACAATGCTTCTGCACTTTTTCACAGAGAGATCCTTTCTGAGAAATATCAGGACAGTAAGCTTTGTCACCCATTTTATGAATTCCCTGAATCCCGAAGGTCAGCATGAGTTTTGTCTTTTTGCTGCCATCATTGATGTTTGTGAAGGAAATCTGACACAACCCTTCAGAGTCAATCCTTCAGGTCTGAACCAGTTACACATAAATTACAAACTGTGGTACGACTACTGATAAATTAATCTTCCTAGTTCCCTCACAGCTTTGAGGAATGGTCTTGAATTTGTGGTGGTACCTGCCCTTATCTCTGAGAGAACCAATCAGTCCTGATACCATCGTTTTTGGACTTTGACCAGTGCCCCTACTTTAGGCGCTGCCTGTTTTATGTTTAAAGGAGGTTGGTTTGCTGGGCTGTTCAGGAAGGTAGTACTGTGATTGTGGTGGTGGTGGTAGTGTCAATTAAGCAACAAAGTTCAAGCTCTAACAAAAACAGAGGCTGCTGCAAAAGCTCAGCAGATCTGACAGCATCTGTGAAGAAAAAATCGAAGTTAAAGTTTCAGGTCCGGAGACGCTTCCTCAGAACAAAATGTTCAAACTCTATTAGACTGGGTAATGTTATCTCTGAGAAACCCTGATGAAAAACACAAACTACAAGACGCTACAGAGCTGCAAAAAAGAAGCACACAGCTGGTGAACAAAGTCAGATGCTGTTTTGTATCTTAATAGTTGAAGAAAGAAAATCTCGGGAGATGGCGTATTTTAAAACAATATGCAAACAAAGGAAGGGCAATGTGAGAGAAGACTTCTTCAAACCACGAGTTTTTTGGGTCTAGAATGCACTGCCTGGAAAGGTGATGGAGGCAGGTTCAACTGAGGCATTCACAAGGGCATTGGATGTTTATTTGGATAGAAATGGAGTGCAGCGATATGGGGACAAGGCAGGAGATTGAAAGCAGGGAATAAAACCAGTGCAGGCACGATGGGCTGATTGGCCTCTTTCTGTAAGATTTCTGTGATATGATTCCTTGTAAAACAAAATGACCTGGGGGTGGAAATGGTGTAGTGAGGTCTGGAGACAACACAGAGCACCAAAAATTTTTAACATTTAAATAAAATGGGGAAGAAAAGGCTTAGAGGATTTTTTTAAAATTTATTCATTCATGAGATTTGGACTTTGCTGGCTAAGACAGCATTTAATTACCCATCCCTAATTGCCCAGAGGGCAGTTAAGAGTCAACCACATTGCTGTGGATCCAGAGTCCTGTATAGGCCAGAACAAGTAAGGATGGCAATTTCCTTCCCTAAAGGACATTAGTGAACCAGTTGGGGTTTTCCCAACAACTGATAATGGATTCATGGTCACCATTAGATTCTTAATTCCAGAATTTTATTGAATTCAAATTGCACCATCTGCCATGACAGGATTCAAATCTGGATCCCCAGAACATTACCTGGGTCTCTGGCTTAGCCATCCAGAAATAATACCACTAGGCTATCACGTCCCGAATACTGACTGTCCCAATACTGATCTAAAAGGCACCTAACAATGTAACCCAAGGAACGATGATATTTACAAGCCACCCGAACACCTAATTTACATTCTAGCCTGGAACTCACTCCATAGTGCTGGTGCCTGTATATAAGCCATTCCACAATGTTATGTTTTTCTCACAACACGACAAACTCTTGCAATTTGATTTTGAACCACTGCCTGTTCCAATGCTGTTTTAATATTTTCTTTTTGTCTCTCCCAATCCAGTGTTCCACTCATGGTTGGCCAGTGATAATTATGAATTGTGTCCATGATGTGGAAGAGGAGCCAGCTGCCACAATTTCATCCACCCATACACCAACTGCGCAGACACTAGCTCTTTGATATATAACACAATTTTACCAACTGCACTTATTCTACTCCAAGTGATTCACCACTTGAGCTGAGTGGGACTGTAATCCGAAAGTGGACTGTTCAGTTGGTTCAATGTTTGTTGCAGTCACTATGATAACTGATCTCTGTTCACTGACCGGGATTGTTATAAAGGCTTCATATTTAATCATTTTTGTGGACTTGAATTTGAAGAATTGTGGATTTCTGGATTTGATTTTTATTTGACAGAGGTCAGCAAAATGATACCGGAGCATTTTATTAATCAAGGCATGTATTGATAAATTTTTTGAGAAGATTTGTAGCTCGGGTTGTGGATGAGGTTGTAGACTTGTTCGCCAAGCCGATGTGTTTGGTTGCCGACATTTTGGCACCCTGCTAGGTAATGGTGTTACCTAGCAGGGTGACGAAACATCTACAACCAAACATATTGGCTCGGCGAGCAAGTCTACAACCGCATACATTGATAGTCACATGTTTTGCAACAACTTTTTTTTTATTCATTTGTGGGATGTGGGCATTGCTAGCTGGGCCCAGCATTTATTGCCCGTCCCTAGTTGCTTGAGAATGTAGTGTTTAGCTGCCTTCTTGAACCATTGCAGTCCAGTTGGGTTGCATTATGGGTTGACCCATAATGCCTTCAGGGAGAGAATTCCAGGGTTGATGACTGCAGAATGTCTGCCTGGGTTTATGATTATTGGCATCTGCTTTGGATATTGAATAGTTAAAGAGCAGCTTACTAAAGGAAACAAGCTGCCCAATTTAGCCGAGACAACAAGGTGCAGGGCTGGATGAACACAGCAGGCCAAGCAGCATCATAGGAGCAGAGAGGCTGACATTTCAGGCCTAGACCCTTCCTATTACCTTGTTGTCTCGGATTCTCCAGCATCTGCAGTTCCTACTATCTCTGATTCAATTTTAACCCCACTGCGAAGCCTGGAAGGGTCTAGGCCCGAAACGTCAGCCTCTCTGCTCCTATGATGCTGCTTGGCCTGCTGTGTTCATCCAGCCCTGCACCTTGTTGTCTCGGATTCTCCAGCATCTGCAGTTCCTACTATCTCTGGCCCAATTTAGCCTCCTGTTTCTGGGAAAATCCTTGCTGTGGGTCCAGGATTGTTCCAGGTGTAGCTGCATTCACTTGAGTAACCTCTGAAAGAGTGCATCAATATTTCCCCAACAACTACATCTGAAAAAGTCCCCAGAGTCAACTGCAGGCGATGTTCTTATCCATTCATCGCTGGGCAGCCCAGCATTCTTTGCCTATCCTGAACTGCCCTGGTGAAGGCAGTACTGAGCTGTCTTCTTGAACTGCCGTGACCCCTAGTCATCCATCTTTATGTATATCAATGTCAGACCGCCAGCCATTTGAGTGTCTCAACCCTTGTTGCTTTAAAGAACTAATGCGTGTTGGCCAATTGTTTATTGAATGTTTGCAGAATGAAATCTGTTTTTTCCTTCACTTTTGCCTTGTGTGTACACGCAAGCATGCATATGTGTGTGTATTTTGGGTTGTGCAGAGAGATAAACATTTTTACTTTCACACTGCAAACCAACTAGTTTTGCATCTTTGTGGAAAGCTTTTACTTACAATAAATTAATCATTTTGTGTTTATGAAATAAACTTGGCTGATGTATCCTTTTATTCTAAGTCTAATATAAAGAAAGTATATGATTGACCATATCAGGAATAAGATAAAACAATTCAAATTCATGGCAAGCAGTGAAACTCAAGAAAGACAATATATTAAGGTGTAGAGCTGG